AGTACTGTAGTTATAACCAGAGTCTCCTAGAGGGAGAGTGAGATTTTGTGTATAGATCTATACGGGGGTTGACAACCCCACACCTGAGTTGTTCGCTACAGATAGACTAGACCAGTCTAGGGTGACAAATGTCTTACCTAACATGATGCCTAAAGAATGTCATGACAAGCATAACAGTCATATCAAGTATGGTTATAACGACTCACATAGAGATTAACAACACAATAAATTTACGGAATACTTTTAATATATGTACAAACTATACTTTTGATACATGTACGAACTATTCATTTCTACAACACTTGGGTCTTATGGTTTTAAGACTACAACTCTTTTACAAACAGAAAATATCGGATTTTCTGGAAACTAGATACTAAACATTTTACAAACAACAAAAAATATAGGATTTTCTGGAACTCTCTCTCTCTCTCTCTCTCTCTCTCTCCCTCTCTCTCTTTTTACATTGTCAAAACAAGAACACACACATGCTTTAATACAAGATTTGAAACAAGACTCTCAACTACTTTTACGGAATATATCAGATTTTCTGGTGCTTACAAATGTTACAAAACTTTTCATACAAACATGCTTATGAACTCACCAACATTATATATGTCGACGTTTTTAAAATAACCTGTATTCTTAGGAACTAGTTAAGCAGGCCAGTCATCAAGAACATGTGGACTTTTGTTGTATTTTTGCTTTTATCATACATTTAACATTTGGGATGTAATTTGTGATACAATACTTTGATGTAAACAATGATGGTTGTTATATTTTATGTACGATGATGATATTGTCTTTGATTCATTTATATATACTGTGATGATATTACAAGATGAAGTCATCCGCCCCCGGACGTTTCCGCCGTCTGGTTCGGGGGTGTGACATACAAAATTTGGAGGTTGCTCGACATAGACTATTTCTTCAAGTTCTCTGTTGAGAAATTCACACTTCACATCCATTTGAAAACTTCAAAGTCAATACCTTCCTCCTAAAAATATACTTTCACAAACATCCTAGTTTTGTTTCTCGCAACATCTCCTTCTTTGTCAAGTTTTTTGTGAAAGACCCATTTAAGATCAACAAAAAAAGCATATGGAGGTGTTGGAATTCATAGCCAAACTTTATTTCTTTCAAATTCATTCAACTCATATTGTATTGCTTTCACCCAATCTGAATGATCAAGTGCAATCTTCATAGTTTTTGGGCCAATATTTGAAGAGAATGAATTAAACATGCAAAACTCTTTATTTGAATTCAGCAAAGCATATCGCTCTGTTTGTTGTGCATGAGTAAGAACATCGGTTGATGTATCATGAATTGTGTCTTCGGATTATCTTTTGTCCATTCACTAAAGGTGGGTAATTAGGATCATACTCAGGAATTACTTCAGAATTAATTTCTTTAACCTTAAAATAATCACCACTATCATCATTCATTAGATTCTCCCCTGATATCAACATCATTCATAGGATTCTCCTCCTAGAAATCACAAGTAAGTATTTCAGAAAGAGCAAATTCACTTTGACAATGTTGCACATTAGTAGTAACTTGCTCTGTAGTAACAACATTATTCGCCTCTACTAGACCATTCGTAGTTTGTGAAGGACTACTTTTCCCCTCGACATGAACTTCAACATTATGAACTACATCATCAACATTTTTAGTAATTCATCACCTTCATTGTCTGATTCTTTAGCTTCAGAAGACACAAGTCTTTCAGGTTCATCGAAGAAATGTAGAAATTCATCATCAAACATCATAAGAGGAATTAGGTTTGAACATGATGATGAGAAGATTTCTTCATATTGTGAACCATCCTTTTAAAAGATTTGATATATTCATCAAACGTTACATAGCAGTTTTCTTTAATCTTTCTAGTTTTCTTGTTGAGAACTCAATACGCCTTAGATGTGAGAGAATACCCAAGGAAGATAGCTTCGTCAACATTCGTATCAAATTTGTTACGATTTTCCTTTGAACTGTAAATAAAGCACCTGAACCAAACACATGGAAAATTTTTACATTAGGTTTATGATTATTCAATATCTCATACGGAGTTATCAAAAATCACTTATTAATGTAAGATATGTTTTGTGTAAAACGTGTTGTTCCAATAACATCAACCCAGAAGTAAAATGTTAGATTTATAAATGAAATCATTGTTCTCGCAACGTCACAAAATGAAAGATTTGTCCTTTCAACAACACCATTTTGTTGTGGTGTATAAGTAGATGAAAAATTATGACTTATGCCTTTGTTAGTAAAAAATTCCTCAAATTTTTGATTCTTGAACTCAGTTTTGTTGTCACTACGAATCTTTCTTACTGGTTTTTGTAACTATAGCTCAATATTTTTCACAAAATCAATCATCGTCTGTGTAGTTTTAGATTTCTATTTAAAAAAAAAACTCACTTAAATCGAGAAAAATCATCAAAAATAACAAGAATATACTTATTACTACCGATGCTTTCAATTGAAAATGGACCACATAAATCGATATCAATCAATTCAAGTGGTTTAAAATTCTTAGTATTCATGATTGATGAATGACTTTTGCGACTCTTCTTTCCCAATTCACAAGCAACAGATAGATGTTCTTTATCATATTTGAGTAGATGAAGGCCTCATGCAAGATCACCAAGAACAAGCATGTTGATATCTATGAAGTTTAAATGCGGAAGTCTTCGGTGCCAAAGCCTACTATCATCAAAATATGCTTTTGTAAGCAAACAAATTGACGGCTTTCCTTCAATGGGCTTCATATCCAATGGAAACATCTTTCCTTTTCTTTTAGACTTTAGAAGAGCATTCTTTGACAGATTTACTCCTTGCTTAATCAACTATCTTTCTTCATCAAATGATACTTTCAAACCAGTACCTACAACCAATTGAAAAATACTTATCAAACGTAAGCTACATTTCTTATCATAAACTCTCCATTGAATTCATTTCAACAAACTCAAAAGTTTCCCAAACATTGGCCCACCAATGGTTTAACAAAACATTTACAACAATATTGTTCGAGACTAGAGTCATTATTTTGAATTTAATGAGTTTTTTTTTTTTTTTTTTTTTTTTTTTTTTCATTGTGTAACCACAAAGTCACAAACTCAACCCTCACCTATTTCTCACACTACCATTTTGAATCACCCAACTCCAACTTAAGAACAATATAACTTGGATATACCTTGCCCATTTATGAAATCATCTAATTCCTACCTACTAACAATCTAATACGACTCTTTATGAATCTGAATCGAAAAAGCAAAATCTGACCGAAAAAACCAAACTGAACCAAAATAACACATATTTGAACCAAAAGCAAAGGCAAAGAACACAAGACCGAAGTAAATTAATCTGAACCAAAGACTTAAATAAAACAACCAAAGACCGAACCGATCTCCATAAAAACTGCTTCAAAAAAGATAAAAAAAAGAAAAAAAAAGAAAGGAATGGTCGTAGACCAATTTGTACACCTCTTGCTAACATCATTAATCTATCAATAAATTGCCAACTTTAACATAATCTCCCATTAATGAAATATATATATATATATATATATATATATATATATATATATATATATATTATATATATATATATATATATATATATATATATATATATATATATATATATATATAGACTGTAACCAGCGCTAAATCCATTTGTTCGGCAGAAAAGAAAATGTCGCCAGGCCCTTTATTCACTTTTATGGCTTCATTGGGCTTACTATGTTTAGACCTTAACTTAAAACAATCCCTACATTTATTTAACTTTTGTTTTTAAAAAAAATTGTCTCGTTTTTTCTTTTAGTTTAGATTATTATTATTATTATTATTATTATTATTATTATTATTATTATTATTATTATTATAAAAACAAAAAACTAAACTTTCTTATATAATTACAGGTGTTACTATTCTCAATAAAAAGAAGAATAACTGGTTACAATATAGGACTTAAGTGCATACTATGGTAGATACGGTGAAGTTAAATGTCTCACAAAATTGTATCAACCAATTTACTTAAAATGTAATGGAAACTCTTTTTGTTGTAATTGTAAGTATTACCCTTTCTTAGTGTTGATGTAGTATAAAAATAATTATACTTTTATATAATTATTTCTTAATCCCAAACGGGTAAAATAGTGTAATATTCCACAAACTATATCTATTATAGTTTATAAATATATATTCTGTTGAAATGAAAACCTTTGTGTTTTAACAGTTTTTGCATTTAAATATTTATAAAGTCGGTAGTACCGTTATTTCGCGTATTTAACATTTTCACGTAAAATGTACATAAAATGTAAGTAAACATAAGTAGGGGTTTGTATATTAACACAAGTTTTCTTGTGTTTTAGTTGTATCCCCCCCCCCCCCTAAAATATAGAAAAATCTTGAAAACTGTAGGGGTATGAATTCAGCTTATGTGTGTTTGCGGTTGGATAATCGAAGTGATGGAGAAGATCTTCGAGCTACCAATACTAGAAAAACGGCCTTTTACAACGCACAAATAATGACACACAATGATACAGGACGTGCATTTGTGCGTGCCCTAAAAATTAATGTCAACCTTCCAAATTTTGAAGAATAGAGGACACTCATTTGTGTGTGCCCTAAAATTGTTGTCCCATAAAAAAATTACAAACACGGAGGGCACTTTTTTTAAATGTGTGTCCTCTGCGAATGTCGCTTTATAATTTTTCCCAAAACGTGCGATCTGAAAAGGGGAAATGAAATCCTCCTAAAATTCTAAAATTTATCAATACACCGCTTCTCTTCTTCCTTTCTCTCTATAAACCCTAATCACGATACTTGGCCTTCCTTTGCTGGCAACATCAAGTTCGACGACCTTAGGCTTACTTCTTCTATTGCTCAAATTTACAAGCCATATTTTATTAAGGTGAATTTTAACCTTAATAATGGTAAAAGTCCAAAGCAGCCACACCCAAGTCCAAAGCGTCGCTCCCCCTAAATTTCTCCTTCACAATGAAAGCAACGTTCGATGATTCTTCCTTTACCAATGGTCCCACCTCCGAGTCACCCGAGACTGAAGTTTTTGTGGACCGACTCTTGCAGGTATGTCTGCGTTATCGTAGTGGCACAGGGAAGAAAGTCTATGCACGGAATAGCAAGATGTCCGAGATGAAATCCGGTAGGAGTTCAGGATCTAGGGCAAACATGTACCTCCTATCAGTGCCTTTGAAGGAGCTAATTTCAGGTTGAGTGAAAGTGGATTTCGGGTTCAGCACTTATTTGGAAAGGGTGAATGGGTGGGTGGGGTCTTGAAAATAACATATGACGTCGATCATTTTTATTCAGGTTTATAAACTCATCATTTTCATCGAGAATGAAGGACATGATTGGAATTGTCCCCGGGTTGGTAGTTATTCTTGTTGGAGATAGGAAAGATTCTACAACTTATGGACGTAACAAAAAGAAAGCTTGTAACTTTGTGGGAATTAATTCGTATGATGTCCGGCTGGCTGAGGATTCTGCCGAAGAAGAATTTGTTAACCACATTTCAAAGTTTAATGATGATCCCTGTGTACATGGAATACTTGTTCAACTACCTTTGCCTCGTGTAAGATTATTATTTTATGTGATTATAATTTGTATGTATAGATTCTAATTCAGTTGTTGGATCACAACATATGAAGGAGGAAAAATCTTAAATGTTGTTTGCATCGAGAAAGATGTTGATGGATTCCACCCTCAAATTTTGGGTCGTTTAGCCATACGAGGGAGAGAACCATCATTTGTTCCCTGCACACCTAAATGATGCATAGAGTTGTTGCATAGATATGACATCCCCATCAAAGGAAAAAGGGCAGTGGTGATTGGTAGGAGCAACATTGTTAGAATGCCTGCTGCTTTCTTACTTCAAGTATACCATTCTACTTTCATCTTTTTTTCTTATTAAGACACTCAACTGTGAAAAGTCTCCCCAATAAAATAAATAATAGCAGTGAGAATTAATTACATTGCTATAACTGGTATTAATCATATATTGTTGTTTTGGTTTAGAGAGAATTAATTACATTGCTAATTTGATGAATGTCACTGATGAGGCTTTAGAGGAGTACCAAATAGCATATATATGTACTAAAGCATTGAAGGGTTTATCCTATTTACACTCGATTTTCAAGGTGCATCATGATATTATGGGAGGTAATATTTTATTAACTGAACAAGGAGAGGTGAAGTTGGGTAAGTTCTAATAAAAATATGTTCTTTATATTACTCTAGATTTACTTTCTCATGTTTTCTTTAACTAAACAAGGAGAGGTGAAGTTGGGTAAGTTCTTATATTTAGTAAATTGTTTTCACTTTCACATCATCAACAAGTGATTTTGGTGTTGCTGCACAACTAACAAGAACAATATATGTCCAAACGTAATACGGTAATAATAGCTTTAAGTAACTCTTAGGTGAGTTGACTTCTCTAAAGTCCAAATAGCACTATTAACGATTATATTTCAAGAATAAGTTAATTTATTGCCATATTTTGTTTTTCAGTTTATTGGTACTCCCCACTGGATAGCTCAAGAGGTAATCTAGGAAAGCAGATATGATGAGAAGTTAAATTTTACATTTTTTTAGCTACCTATATCTATTTGTGACTCATTGTGATCGTCTTTCATATATAACTATTGTTTAACATATGCTAATATGATCAAGCACTCCATTTTGTGATAATGCTTTTGATTAACTTATAAAGCCCTCCACTTTGATTCTCAAGAATTATAGCCACTTAAAAATGGAATTTGTACTTATAATTATATAGAATTATACATCAAACCCTTTATATGATTTGACATGGGAAATATAAGTTTCCAAAAGTAGCTTGTTAAACATTACGACATTTGTATAATGTACTTTCTTTTTCCATTGATCTTACTGGAATATTATTTCCTTTTAGGGTCTAGAAATGGGATTAGTAGCAACATTGTATTTTTTCTATTTTTTTTTGCAGATGCATGTTGTCAGGTCGGAAGAGAATGATGTGGGATATTAGTTTAATGAACATCAAGATAATTATTCCTCAGGAGAATGGGAAGTGAGAGATACATAAATTAGTATTGATTTCTTTTTAAATCGTCAAATGAGGTCTCCATGTTCAGATTATTTGTATTAACTTCAAACCCTAACATACAGGTACTTGGATTAACAACTGTCACCTTTTCATCCAAGCATGATGTTAGCTGTTTTGCACCAAATATCAATGTACCTTCTCAATTCATGAGCAATTTAATAGATGATAGTTCTTCAAGTGAGCTTCTAGAAGGAACTCAGATTCAAGATCTGCATAATCTATTGGAAATTAAATTAGTTGACTTCCGGGTTAGTATCTTCTCTCATTTTCACTCAACATCTCACATTTCACATAACTGACTTGTGACTTCCTTGTAACATCCCATTTTTCCAGTAGTTTCATATTCATCCCTCGGATTTGAATTATGCCACTTTTGGCCTTTGGGTTGGAAGGAAGTGGCAAGAAAGGACCATGCATGAAAAGTGGAAGGTGCGTAGTACACCCATCATAAGTTGGGTTACGCCTGGCATATAAAAAGAAATGGTCGCGGGTGTTTTTGGCGTACGCCCAGCGTACAACCAGTGTCCAGAAACCCTAATTTTAGGGCCAACCACTATATAAAGAACATAATGGCTCAAACCCTAGCCTCCTTATCTGCCTCCCCAACCTCAGAGAAACCCTAGAACGCCTCATCTCTTCATCCTTGGGTGATTTTGACTGCAAGAAGCTCATTTTGGTGGTGTAAGCTTGGAAGAGGAAAAGAAGAAGTTGGCAAGGAAGAACTTGGGAATTTGGAGCTCATAGATCTAGAATAGCATCATCATTTGGAACTCTTTGGAGGTGTAAAGTTCATAACTTTACCTAAGAATGCTTAGATCTAGTGTAGTTTGGTTTTGGAGTCATTTTGGTCCCAAGAGTGGACCTTTATGATGCAACTTCATTTTGGACCTTAGGGTTGCCACCCTAAGAGGTAAAAGTGTCCCATAAGCAGTAAAGTTTCAATCTTGATGGTCCATTTGTAATCATGCATGAGATCTAGCATTTTTTATGGAAGTAGAAGATCATTTTCAGAGTTTGGCATTATTTGGGTCAAGTAAAGTCACCAAGTCAGTGACTTTATGGATTAGGACATGGAAAAGGACATGAATCTGTGTTTGTAGCCTCTGGAGTGGAGTAATAAGCACTTAATGGGGTAAATGACTGAACAAGTGGAGTACGCTGAGCGTACATGCTGGTACGCCCAACGTAGTTATCATCTAGCTTGTATGCTTAGCGTACATAAGAGTACGCCCAATGTACTCATCAAATATGGGCCTTGCGAGTTTTAGGCCTCGGTTTGGGCCATGCGGGGGATTTTGGTTCTTTGGGCCTTAGTGGGACATTCAAAGTTAGTTAATGTGGGCCAAGAAGATGTTTGGGCTTTAGGGAAGGCCAATTAAGGGGATTGGGCCTAATTTAGCAAATTAGGCCATGAGTGGACCACTAGTGGGCTTGGAAAGCCTACCTAGTGTTGGGTCTTGTTTTGGTATTGGGCCTTGGCCCAAATTAGAGAAAAGACGAAATGGACATGATGAACTGCGTGGACTCCCCCTCCCTTAGTCAAGATTGTTATGTTGTGTAATGACTTGGTATTTTTCATGTGATAGTTCGGGATTTCTGGTGAGATAATGATTCAGGAGTTGGTACTTTAGTTCAGACCGGCATTGCGAGGTAATTTATTCTCATTATATCGACAGGGTCTAAGGCACCAAGGTCGACCCTTTATTAGGTTTGTACCCTGGTATTTTCTTGTTATGTTTATTGATCTGCTAGATCTGCATCATGGTAGTTAGGATGGTATTCTGTTAGTAACCTGACTTAGGTTGATATCTTGGTATATAGGATGATGTTATGTTGGTGACCGGTTAGGTCGATATCTTGGTTATAGGATGGTTGTTGTGTTTGTGATCTGTTAGATTTATATGATTATCTGTTACATACATGCTAGTGTATGATATTTATGTGCACATGATTGTTTGATTAGTATGGGGGTTGGGTTAAGGCGGATCCTGCTTCGTGCTGTAGGACAACATACCCAGGGCAGATCGGATAGACTACAGGCCTAGGAGGGCACCTTGTCAGGCTGAAGGCCCGACGAGCGGTACAGATAGGCTGAAATCCCAAGAGGGCGGTCCAGATGTGTCGAGGCTCAGAGAGTGGACCAGACAGACTGAAGACCCGATGCGGGCGGTGCAGTCATACTATAGACTCAGAGGGTGGACTAGGTGGACTGAAGACCCGGTGCGGGCGGACTAGTCACACTGTAGACTCAAGATGCTGTTGGAATAGTGTCTAAGGCTGCAACTATATTAGGCAAGTATTTGACCCGATTATGCATGGTCCTTTTGGGTTGCCTTCATCATATCAACTTGGTAGGATGATTTATTATGAGAGAATAGATATTATTAATATATTATGAGAATAATATAAGGAATAATAATATAGTTATTTGATTAATATAAGTCATAGATTAATTAGTATTAATTTGGTGACTTAAGGAGATTAATTAAATAAGAGGGTATAAACTGTCAATTGTTTGATAGTTACACTTTAGACTGTAAATCCTTATGGGAGATAGGGTGGACAATTTCTAGGGCTTGGATAATCCAAAATTGTCCAAAGGATATCTAAGGTAAGGATATGGATTAACTTAAAGTCTAAGTTATCCAACTAGGGTTTAAGCTGTAACCCTTAAGGAGTCTACAAGTATAAATAGACCCTATGGATGAAGGAATTTAACACATCTTCTAAAGTAAGGATACTCTGGTTGAATTCCATCCCCAATTCTATCTCTCAAATCATCCTCTTTGCTAGTTGGTGTTTGTAAGCCATTAGAGGAGTGACAATTGTGACTCTAGAGCTCCAAGACAACAAGATCAAACAAGAGAATCAAAGGTATGTTTCTAGATCTGATTTTGTGTTGTTCTTACACCTAATAAGTCATTAGAAGCCTTGGATTCAAACCATGTTTAATAGAGAAACCTAGATCCAAGCATTAGGGTTTGTATGCGCACTTAGGAATGTTCTTAGGTACAAAACCCATCAGTGGTATCAAAGCCTTGATTGGTTTCTATTAAATTGATGCTTGAATGTTTGAATCTTAACTGAAAATTTTGATTTTTATGTTTCTGAGTCATGGACTTGGCGAGTCCCATAGTGGACTCGACGAGTTGGCCTGACTTGGCGAGTCCAGTATGGGTACTCGGCGAGTCCGAGCGTCAGGATTAGCCAAAAACGGGATTTTTTTCATATTTATCTGATGGAAACTTACCTTAATCATATTAGATCTACCATAATCCGATTTTGTGATATATATGACTATATTTTTGATCTAATTGAAGATAATTATCAATTAATAAAATATTTGATTTCCCTATATGATAATTATTAATCAAATATAGATAACTATGTGATTTAGATTATTTGTTATTTAATCCTTTATGTTTTAAATGTTTAAAACTTGTCCTCAAGTTTTGAAATTTATGTTTTGTGATTAAAAGTTTAATTTAGACAATTTAAATTCAAACCCCAGAATTTTACAAGTTTAAAATACAACCCTATACTAGTATAATATTACAAGATTAATATATATATATATATATATATATATATATATATATATATATATATATATATATATATATATATATATATATATATATAACTTAAATGCTAGTGTTACCGTTAGTAGGCCTCATTTACGAAGTTGGTCTATAAGGTGGGTATAAGGTTGCGGCCTATAAAATGGCGCTTAATGGGTGTACACTCACACCCACCGCTCGCTTGATTGGTGGAGGGTCGTTAGCCGAACGGGTAGGATAGGGCAACCTCATCCTCTCATTAAAAGTATAATAAGAAATACAAAGTAACTACATGTTTTATTAAAAATTTCCCAATCTTAGTTACTTTAGGAAAAGTGAATTGATGCAATCCCATGAAATTACACTTTGCACCTTGCTAAGAAGTTAGTGGAGCGTGTGTGGTTTACCGGCACACTAATTGGTTCTAAACGAAGGTGGCAAAGGGTGATTCATTGTTTATCATAGTTCGATGGAGCGTGTGTGGTTTACCGACACATCGAATAGGTGATCGTTACAATGAAGGCACCATGTAAATTTGTATGGTAATTCACACCCGCTTTGTGATCCTCGGTATCCCAATCACAAACAAGAGGGTCATATCGAGATTTAAACATGCCATTGAAAAGTTTCAATGAATCTCATCCGAACCTAGGAATTCTCAATACATTTAGGACTTAAGGTTATGTTTTTCATGGTGGAGAATTAGTGAATCGTCATTCACTTACCTTCAAATTGTTTGCATGTTAGATTACGGCATCCCTTTTCTAATGTGTAAATATTGTTGTTGGATCCTAGCCCTAATTTCTTATTGGGTGAATTTTAGGGATTCATATTCTAATCTATCTTTGTCCTTTCTATATATAGATGTCGAACGCCAACAATGCTGCTGCGAGTTCTTTCACTTTGATGAGCCTTTGTTAAAAGGTCACCTTTAATGGAACGAACTTTAGTGAATGGATAAGATACATTCGCACGATTGCTTGCTATGAGGATAAGGAGTATGTCCTCGATGAGAAGCTCCCGAAAATCAACCCCGAAATTGCTACTCCCGCCGAAATCACCGCTTTCGAAACTCACGAGCGTGATGCAATGAAAGTGCATTGCATCATGATCGCGACAATGAACTCCGAATTCCAAAAGTCCTACGAGGACATGTATCCGTACGAAATGCATCAAGACTTATTGGAGGGATACCATCAAAATGCAAGACGAGCGTTATGAGATTTTCACGAACATGATTTCCGCTAATATGGGTCATGGAGAATCTCTTACCGTGCACTTGCAAAAGATGCAAAGGTATGTCGACCGCCTTCGCAAGTTAAATTTTGACTTTGGACAAGACTTGGCGATCGACATGGTGCTTCACTATTTGCCTCCGAGCTACAATCAATTTAGGATGACCTATCACATGAACAAAGAAGAGGTCACCCTAAGCAAACTCCAAGGTCTCTTGAGGGTCGCTGAGAGCAACTTCAAGGACAAGTCTGTTGCACCAACTCCCAATCCGCCCGCTGCTCCTGTCTTGGCAATTGGAAGGAAAGGGAAAGAAGAGGAAGGCTTCGTCAAAGAACCATCGCAAGGTAAAAGCCTGAGATGGTGCCTCTTCTAGTGGGACCAAAGTTGATCCCGCTAAGCCCTGCTCCAACCTGAAGGAGGCAGAGTGCCACCACTGCCACAAGATAGGACATTAGAAGAGAAGCTAGCCGGAATACCTGCAAGCCATCAAGGAAGGAAAGATCAAGCCATCTTTCGCAGGTATATATACAATTAAATCTAATGATTCCCACAATACTTCTTGGGTTCTTGATACCGGTTGTGGTTACCACATTTGTTCTAATGTGCAGGGACTAAGAAGAAGTAGAGACGTGGAGCATGGAAGAATAAATCTAATCATGGGGAACAGAAGATCGTCGC